TCATTTTGCATGCCATTTCAGTACTGGAACATATGCCATTGTACTCCATGTTTCATCCTTTCAATGCCTTTGGAGAGTTGTATTTTGTGCCTTGAGCTTGGGCCAATATGCATGCATGTTTGTATAGCATTTTGAGTTTCTATCTTAGCATGTATGGCCACTGATTTGGGCATGACTAAGGTCAGTACATTTTGGTTTAAGTCCATCGAGCATTGTGTATGCCATATGGTTCATTGCGTTGTATATGCCATGTCCATTCGCATTGTGTATGCTAGTTGTTGTTCATATTGTTGCATACTTATGTTGTCTTGCATTGAGTATGCATGCATTAGCATAATTTGCATGGCATTAGCTTTGTTAAGTTAATCATGTCACATTGCATTGAGCTGGCCATGTGGTTCTTAGCACTGTGCATTGTGCATGCCATTAGCATTAGGGGTGTTCGTGGTTCGGATTTGGAAGGTTTGCGGATCGGTTTGGACCCGCCCGCATTTATGCAGTTTGAGGAAAAGACAACCCGCAACCGCCCGCAATGCAGTTTTCGGTTTGTGCAGGTAGGGTTCGCAGATGTGCGGGCGGTTTGTGGATTGGACTTTTTTCTTCAAAAATTCATTTTTAAACCTTATTTTTTCCCCATTTTGTAAATATTTATTTTGGGTCATTTTCTTCCCATTTTCTAAAATGCTCCAACATTAATAATTAATGAATTAAAAATTATAAGATTAAAAATACAAGAAAATCAATTCGTAACACAAACAAATCATTCAAAATCTTAAATCAAATCATAAACTAACACAAGCATATATTTCAAAATCCTAAACTATAACTCCATATTCATTAAGGAATATAAAATTCCAAATCACACTTCATTCAGAACAAGTTCAGTTATGTAACAATAATAATATGATCAGTATTTATTCAGTTTCAGTTGATATAATACTATTAACAAATGTAATGCTAAAGTAAGTTCAAAAAATAAAGGGTGTTTTGTTTTGGACAAAAATGTCTAGGTGGATATAGAAATGAAATCAATAGTTAAGATAAAAAAATAAATAAATAAATAAAGTGCGGGCAGTTTATTGCGGGTGCGGGTTAAACCCGCAACCCCCAAAGATGCTATATTTCAAACCGTATCCACCCGCATTGTATTTGCGAAACCGCCCATTTGTATGCGGATTGGGTAGGTTGGGCGGTTTTTGCTGATCGGATAAACCGTTGCCCACCCCTAATTAACATTGAGTATGCTAAGTTACATTGCATTGCATGTTTGCATGCTTGTTCCTTGCGTGTTGTTTGCATGCTTGTTTAGTTGTATTGTATCGAGTTGCATGCTTGAGTCGCATTGGGTATGCCATGCTTGCTTTGTATTTGTGTTTGGAATAGGTGTTAGTCCAAACACGGGAAACAAGGGACGTTTCATACTTGAAGTGATGAAACGCGCCTCAATTCTCGGTCATCGGCGCTCTTGATCATACATGACAGAGTTTTAGGCTTTATGTGTTTACTTGTGCATTCATTTCCATATTGAATTGTGCAACTTCACTTCTCGGCCATCATGCATTGAAATGCGTGATTGATGGCCCGAGGGTCGAAAACCGCACTCCCTTGAGCTTACGTAATGATAGGGAGGGTGGTCGTGCATACATGTGTTGCAAATACTTTGCCATGCCACTTTCTTGCTCTCTGTTGCAGCAAACTGAAGTTTGGCAGTAGAAACTGGTCGGCCGACTAGGCAAAGTGGCTGGCCGACCACTTTTTTTGGTTTTTATCACAAAAAGTGGTCTACAGGTGGTCTGTAATGCCAACAGCTGGTCGGCAACATCCCTACAGGTTCCCATGGTGGAGTTTCAACCTTCTGGAGCCTTGTGCAGTGTTCTGGGACCAGTTGCAAACAGAGGCAAATCGGGGCATCGCGATGGATTTCCGAGCGAGGTGATTCAAGCATGCATGCATCCCTCGTCATGAGGCCATTTCAGTGTTTTGTTAGCTTAGAATGTATATTTGTTTCAATTTTGGTTGTGTAATAATTAATTAGCTAGAATAATTAGTTAATTAGTCGGTTCTGTATTATTTATTCGGACCCTCCTCCGAGAGGGCAATGTTGTAAATAAGTGTGCGTGTGTGTGATGCATGTCTTCCAACCCCCATTTCTTTTTCCTTTTTATTTACTAGCATACGATGGTTAGTTTTAGGGCATGTTTCAATTAGCATTCTTATGCTCGCATGTTCACATTCATTCATCTGTCTTGTATGCACCAGGCTCGGCGCATCATACTAACTACATTATATTTCAATTCCTGTTTGAATACATGTATCAAGTTGCATTTCACATGACATTTTAGAATAGCCGAGCCTATCTTAGTTGCATTTTGCATGTGTTGCATTAGGCATTCTTGACATAGCTAGGATCATGCATGATTACTAACTATCTTCTATTTTGGCTTGGAGTACTAGGTGAGTGTTTATGCTTTAACATCCTTGCATGTGTGTGAGTGACTGCCATGGTAGCATGCTTGCCATGAGACTAACTGCTTATGTGATATAACTGCATGAATGCCTGTGGGTGAAGGTTGGACTATTTGAATTGGAACAATTCATTGATTGCGAGTTTTAAGCCCACTTGAGAGTGGCAAATCACCATGTTTTCTAAAGCCCACTTGAGGGTGGCAAAATCCGCATTTTAGCCTACTTGCGAGTAGCAAACCGCTTTCAAAAACAAACATGAGATGTTTTGTTCCAACTTAGGCGATCCAGTCTATACTTGTATGTTGTGCGCATCACATAGTAATTATAGGTTAATAACCGGAATAAGAGCACATGTGTTTTCAAAAACGAGATATTATGCTAGTAAAGGCCGATCTTTGATCGGGCGAGCGGGGGTGCTCATTGCATGACCTTCCCCTCTTGTACCCAAGTTCTCCAGCCGAGGCAACTTTGGTGATGACGGACATGTGGCCTTAGGCACGAGTCAGAGTTTCCTAAATTTTCCAAAAATAAAATATTTAGGTGGCAACTCTGTATCTGGAAAAGCAGTCCATGTTTCAGTTTTTCAAAACGATTTGCCGGATTTGGGCTCTTTGGTGATTTATCAATCTCGCATTGCACTTTGCAAGATCAGATTAAGAACCGTGACATTGAGTCCGAACTGTAGTAGTAAGCCCAATGAACAAAACGGGATTCTCCCGGGACCTTCGGGCGCATCTACACTAGCTTCCACTGTGCTTTTTCTGGCAAGTGTGTTGACAATGGGGAAAAGACATAAACCTTTTTCAACTGTGCCCCTAGTTCATCACTTTGACCATTTTTTTTGTTTTTAGCTTTCTGCTGAAACAATTTTGACCAACGCAGGAGTTTAGATTAACATGCTTGTTCGACTTTTTGTTTTGAAATCATGTAAGTCGGGCTGTGAACAATGAAAAATTTTCTTTTTTGAGTCCAAGAAATGGTCTGATTTTTGGAAAAAAAAAAAAGGAATAATTTTTGAGAAAACTAGTCAACTTCATAAAAAAATTCTCAAAAACTGTTTTTGACAAATGGTCACTACGCAACCAACGTGGAATGGATTTTTGAGATGCACAACCTCAAATCCGAACTTGATGTGTCTTGCAACTGAATCTTTTAACGGAATAGGACAACCGAATTTGAACGAAGATGAGCCAATTGGTTATAGAGAGGATAACCGAGTCAAACAAAGATAAGCCAACCAATATGGACAGGACAAGCAAGCTGAAAATGGTTGGGGTCGAACTTCAGGATGAAGTTGCATACGTATCCCAAAGATGGGAATCAGGCCTTACGTAGTTCCCGGTTAAAGTGCACTCGGGTATTAACTCTCTCCTTTTGCGCTTTAACTTTTGCAAAAAGTCCGCTCTTCTGGGTTTTCAACCTTGCGAGCTCTATTTTTTTTTTTCTTATTTTTCCTTTTCTTTCTTTCTTTTTTTTTCTTTCATTTTTTTTCTTTTTTGTTCTTTTTTTTTCTTTTTTGTTTTCTTTTTTTCCATGCTCTAACTTTTGCCTAAGTCGGCCTTCCGGGGAGCGAGCCTCTCAATGATAAGAAAGTTTAATTGTTGATTGGTTGTGCGATCTCTAAGCCATCTGAATCCATGAGAATAGTTGATGTTCCTGACCAAATAGTCTTGATAATGTAAAGGCCCATCTAATTGGGTCTGAATTTGCCCCTAATGTCGTGGATAGGAACTTGATTGTCCTCCAGCAATAAATTTTTTCCTCTCAAATTCTGTGATTTGTCTTTCTTGTCAATCTCTATTGGGGCAACAAGGGTTGTTTCTCATCCAGCTATTCATTTAATCACATTCGACCTTATTGCCCTTAGTTCAAGAGTTGCTTCCAATTCGGACATGCAAGCCTCATATTTGGTTAATCTTTGAAATATTCTCAATTAAAGTTCAAGTTTTGAAAGCAAATGAGTTGAGTCTCAAGGTCGAGAGTGATCCTATGTTGTACAAACTCAAGATCAATTCCAGGCATGTCTTCGTAGGACCACGCAAAAACATATTTTTGAAATATTTTAATAAAGTGACTAGTCGTTCGTGCTCCTTTGAAGACAATGAAAGTGATTATAGATTATAGCTTAACAGATTATAACTTATACCTGTGAGTATAAGCTGCTAACCTGTTTGGTGTAGCTGTGGGATTATATATTTAAGCAGCAGAGTAGTGTTTGGTAAATAAGCTGTAAAATAGCTTTTTGCTATGTAATTGTCAATTTTGCCCTTATGAACAGGAAATTTGTAATTTTTGTAATTTTCTTCTGTTTAAATATTGAAAAAGTTATTTCATTAATGGAAATTGATTAATTAGTATATAATTTGGTACATTTCATTTACCTCAAATTTTTTTTTTTGTATTTATTTTTGTATTTAATTTTTTTGTAATAAATATTGAGTTGACAAGAAAATAAAAAATTTAATTGCAATAAAAATATAATAAATTACTATTAAGGCAAGAAAAAGGGCTCTTCATAGATATTTATAGAGCTCCTAATTTCGTCTGCAAATTGACATACAAATATTATGTCTCCTCACTTCCATTTCGTTGTCATCACATGCAACATCATTTCCATGGCGTGCTTGTTGAGACGAAGATCCTTCCTCTTCATTAGGCATATAATCCGTGTATCTATCATAAGAGTCAAATGCAATATCGCGGAACTTACTTCGTCGGATGAAATTATGAATTGCCATTGTTGCACAAACAAGTTTGACTTGGGTCGGCCACTTGTAGTTTGGTGGGATATCCTTTATCATCGGCCATCTTGCTTTCCAAACCCCGAACGTTCTTTCTATTACACTTCTAAGTGAGGAATGTGCTTGGTTGAATTTTTCTTGTGCATTTTGAGGGGGTTGACCATGTTCAAATTGAGCTAGATGGTATCTCTCTCCTTTGTAAGGTGCAAGATATCCTTTCATGTTTGGATAACCAGCATCCAACAAGTAAAACTCATCTATTTTAAAATTTCAAAATGAAATTAAAGTAAGCAATTATAAATGTAAAAATAAATATGAAGATGTGAGTGTGGTGCATCTATTGTACCAATCAAATATAAAACAGTTACCTCCTTGTGGTTTTGGAAAATTAAAACTAAGATTCCTAATTGCATCTAAGAAGATCCGAGTATCGTGTGCACTTCTTTCCCATCCTGGTAAGCAAAATGTGAAACACATATCAAAGTCACACGCGGCCATTATGTTTTGAGTCGCATATCCTTTTCTACCTATTAGACGAGCTTACTTATCTGGAGATATATATGCTTTGATGTGTGTCCCGTCAATTGCTCCAATACAATCCTATTACATGATAATGAATACAAAACATTTTAGCCACAAATTAGTAGAAATATCCTACCAACATTAATTATATGTAACACCCAAGTTGCGCTTGTAGTTAATTATTTACCTTGAAATGAGGATAATATTTGCGATTGCGTCGAATATATGGATGCACACCATTAGTCAGTTGAGGCCTTACCCAATCAATGGACATCTTTGTAACAACCTTTAACACCTTCTTAAAATATTTTGAAATAGTCTCGCCGGAATGTTGAAATCTTTCTTGGACATTTCTGTTTCGAATGTCACCGCCAACAATAAACAAAAATATCGCAACTTGCTCTTGAATCGAGACTTGTCGTCTAGTTTGAAGGCCATAATTTGTCTGTAACAAATTACACAATTGATAAAATACCTCTCTTTCCATTTGAAAATTTTCAAATATTCTTGTCCAATTCCCTTCTTGTAATTCTACCATCCACATACCTCCTGTTAAACAAGATGTCCTACATGGTTCTTTTATCAAATAATTTGTTGCATATGTCGCTGCAACTGTAGCCGCCGTAGCTAAGAGCATATTATTATTTTGTTGGGTTTGCGATGTGTTGCCTTCATCGTCAGTATCTTCATCATCATGGTCATCATTCCATTGTTCTTCATCATTGTTACTCATCTTTAAAATACCTAGTTTCTATAAAAGGTTTAGTTACTATTCAATTCAAACCAAAATAGGGTGAGGTAAAGAGTTAATAAAAATTCAGAATTGGCAATTTAAATTGTTAAATCAAACTCACTATATTCACAGCAAGATTCAAAACAACGTGAACAAATAAAAGTGACTAAGGGATAAAAGTAAAGTTATTTGATAGTGTTTCTATTAAGAACAACCTTGTTTCTATTTTAAACTATCCAGATTGTAAACTATTTTAAACACTAAAGGTCCAGATTGTAAACTATCCAGTAGGTTAGGAAAATGAATATATATTTTCTAAAAAAATCCAAATTTCATTGAGCAGCTCTTTGTTTCACTCATGAATTCGGTGGGTCATATGCACCAGCCATTTGCAATCCTTGGGCATGGCAAACATATTCAATATCTATTCATGAAATTCAAGCATAGCACAAATGCAATTCAAGCACGCAGCACTGTAATATACATATCCAATTCTAGCTCACGAATGAAGTATTGAAGATGTGTTCCTATCTACTAAAATATAAGGCAACCTGTCATTCATTTATCCCAATTAAAGAAAATCATCATTCATATAAAGAAATATGTAAATAAAAAAATGAAATAGGTGAAAGATTAAAATGTAAAGCAAGAAAATTATACCTTAAACTTCAACAAAGGTATACCTGGAGAGATTCAAATGTCTCGTTGTCATCACATGCAACATCATTTCCATGGCGTGCTTGTTGAGACGAAGATCCTTCATCTTCATTAGGCACATAATCCGTGAATCTATCATAAGAGTCAAATGCAATATCGCGGTGCTTACTTCGTCGAATGAAATTATGAATTGCTATTGTTGCACAAACAAGTTTGACTTGGGTCGGTCACTTGTAGTTTGGTGGGATATCCTTTATCATCGGCCATCTTGCTTTCCAAACCCCGAACGTTCTTTCTATTACACTTCTAAGTGAGGAATGTGCTTGGTTGAATTTTTCTTGTGCATTTTGGGGGGGTGACCATGTTCAAATTGAGCTAGATGGTATCTCTCTCCTTTGTAAGATG